GAATATTTGGTTTTTAACCCATTAAGGTTTACATCTTTGTTTGACTCATGAGCTTTGATTAGCTCGTTTATAATTTCCGAACACGCCTTGACCATCAATTCGGCCTTATGTTGTTAAACATAATAAATAAATATACGAGACAGACTAAATAGTATGAAAAAGAAAGATATTATGAAAAATGATGACATTTTTCACACCTGAGTGGGACCTAAATAAACGAAGGATAAATAATGTGATTGTTTATAGAGTTAAAATGCAATGTATGTTGAAATACCTTTCTTTGATTTGACGGAAGCCATTTCTGTTTGCACTTTTAGATCGTGCCCGAATTCATCAGACAAAAATGATGTTAGTGTGACAAAATATTTTACTATGATCACGTGATCACATGACAGAATTTTTACGCGTTCACGAGTACAGGAACATTTTTAAACGAATCCATTGAAGAACCTTCAAACGCAAAATTGATAGCTATCTCAAATCTCTTCAGACAATTATGGATAACGAACAGGGCGAGAGAGCTAATAGAGAAAAGTTTCTCTACATTAATTGTAAAGAGGCAAGTAAAAGTTTTTTGTTTGAAATGTTGGAATATGTGGCGTGGCAAAGGATCTGTTCGATTGTTTGTCATTCAAAATTGTTCGTTGAGCCACAAATCTAAGGGACAAGCTAACTCCAAGAGGGTCAGTATGGAATGCATCCCTGTGATGATAAAGATTTGTTCACAAAATTTATTTCTATAGGACGAAGCCGATGTTTTTTTCCATCCCTCACAAACGGAATGCAATGATAAGGACAACTCTCGAAAGCTATCTATGTATGATTACGAAAAATATAAAAAAACTACGCTAAATTGGATAATTCCAATAAATGGGTACTCACAACCGGAACCGTTGTGGAAGACGCTCTTTATAATTTCGGCCTATGTTGTAAATATGAACAGTAAGTTTATATGTAAATAATTTGCTTACACTCTTCAGGATGTATGAACTTCACTCACACTTTATCCTTATATAAAAAGTCTTGCTCATTCGTTTATCTTGGACCCTGACGATGATACTTACTTGAAGGAAAATGTATTCACTGAAAGTGAATTACGCGAAATTCGCCATTTTCAAGTCAAGAAAACGCCATTGATGCCTCCTGACTTGACTAAGTATCTAAATAGCTTCAACCTTGTAAGTTTCATTTCTTTATTATATATTATATAACTTTTTTTTTTTTTCTACTAACAACTGGTATGTTGTTTCAATAGGAAACTGCTTCAGAAATTCGGAAACAAATCTTTAGTCCTGATCAAATGGATCAAGACTTCAATAGGTCAAGGGATTTTGATAGAGACAGGATTCGAAATACAATATATAATTTGTATGTAATAACTTTATTCATTTTCTAAGATTAGATACTAAATTTGCACGACCATTTCGCAGATTGCTAGAATATGAATCGAATACTTTAACGACGGATCACCTAGAACTTGAGATACTCGTTCATGTTTGGGGCTTCACCGATAAAATTTTTAATGATATTGAGAAAATGAAATTGGTCAGGTAAGAAACAAGAAACATTCGATTAATTCTCAACTTTCTATGACCTAAATAATTTTTTGCAATAGAGGGGATTCATGTAGCCTGTCGTCAGATATAGAACTAGACGATATGATTATTCGTAAGATAACAGCTGAGTTTGGGTGTGCAGAAGCAGGTCTACAATTTGAGGATGAAAATGATACGAAGCTGTTGCGTGAAAGAGGCCTTAAAATGCCTAAAATGATGAAGGACATGTTCAAACACCTATGTGAAACTTTCAATCAAGATGATCATAAAACCCGCCAATTGGAAACGATTGGTATCCTTCATGCTGGTATGTTCTTTTTACTTAACATTTCATTAGTCCCCCTTTTGTTGCTTACTTTGATCGCATTTTTCTAGGGCTCATGATGGTACTTTTGCGCCTGGACTCACCAGCCGGATATGTGTGTCGTGTGTTACAATCAAAATCTTTTTCTATCGCTACAAATATTAAAGAATTCGTAAAGACATTTCCTTTAATTTCTTTGACATGGAAGGCTAAAGTAAGTACTTGTTGATGTTCTTAGTTCTGTCCTCCACATCTGACAAACTTATTCTTGCAGAAGATTGTTGAAAATATGATTAGTTTGATCGAACAAACTAATGAAACCGATGAAAGTAGTGAAGAAGACCAATTACGACGTTTACAGGATGTCTACGATATTACACCACTACCATCACGAAAATGAAAAAAAATAGATTTACCAACATGCTTGGATACTCCATCAAAATCGTCAAAGAGATCCCGCTTGGTATGAATCTATAATTTTATACTACTTTGTATGAATAAGGATATGTCTATACCTTTGTACCTTGCATTAGATCTGCTCGGACCACCACCACCATTCAACCGGCTTTCTAGTATCCTGCCCAGACCCTTCGTGTGGGGGAGAAAATAAAGTTGCTGCTAAATTTTGTTCTGATTGTGGAAAGCCAATCAATGGAATGAATACGATATCTCCGAAAACGAGAGAAGCACGGGAAGAATTAATCTGATGTTTAAAACAATTGACCATTTTGTGAAGGTGGATTACAGATTGGTAGTAATAATGGGAAAATTAAAATCATTATATCAAGATTAGAGTGTCAATTTGCACCTGTGAGCTCTTATGCCGGTTTTTCTTTATGTATTTTAATGCTACATGCGGGTGGTTTGGTGCGTCAGAAAAATACAAAGTTTATATGCCAAGTTTTTATATCTAATCGTGTTTATTGTACGAACATAAATACAGTATACTCTCGTTAACAGCACAAATTCACTAATAACAAAAATCAATTTAATATTATCGCATTATACAGTCAAATCTCTTTATACCGATACCTATTAAAACCTCACTATACCGATATTTTCTTAAAATCATTCATTTTTTTATGCAGATATTCTAAAAAAAAAAACACATTTAATTAAAACGGTATTATATACCGATATTTTTTGCTGAAAAAACTAGTTCATGTCGGTATACAAATTATCACATCATGTGATTTTATAATAATTAATTTATATTACATAAATAATCGATAATAATATTTATTTTATTTTGTCTTTATTCAAAAACATTTTTGTAAAAAAATTATTTATAAAAAAAAAAAGAAATTTGCTATACATATGGTCAGAAATTTGTAGATCCTTAATACAATTAATTGAATCACTATTAAAATACTGTATATAAATAGTTATTAGTAAATTTAATTAAGCAGAGATCTCCAGAGTTCCTTATAATAAAAATCTTTGAAGACCTATATTTTTGTTAGAGATTTTCAAAACAAAAATTCAATATATAGATTTCAAAAACCTTTAAGATTTTAAAGATTTTTAAAAGTCAATTTAATATTTTAAATTATATTTTATAATTATATAACAATTGATAATATAATAAATAATTTTATATATAGTATGATACAAAAGTCTTTGAACTAATTTTGTTTTTTAATTTTATTTATAAATCAACAATTAATTAGTAAAATATAATAAAAATTTGAATATATCTATTTAAAAACCTATAGAATAAGGTTACTTAAAAAATATATTATAACAGTATAATTAAATTTTGATTCAAAATTAAAAGTATATTTTAAAGCTATATCCAAAATTCTATTGTATATTACAAATTATAAAAAATTAACAAAATTATTTTCAACATATAGATTTGTTAAATAAAAATAAAAAAAATCAAAAAACAATTTTTTTCTAATTTTTTTATCAATTAAAAAAATTTTTATAAAATAAAACATCTATTAATTCCATAATATTAATTTATATAATATAAGAAATATTTAATAAATTTTTTATAGTTAAAATTTTTTTTGAATTTTATAATTAATTTTAAATTCAAGACCTGTGAGTCTGTAGTATAGTGGTTAACACTCCATAGGTCAAATCACAAGATACCAGTTCGACCCCATGTGAGGGTGGTTAAATAGAATTAATATAGTATCTAGCGTCATAACCTGTTAAAAGTGCTATTTCTCATATGAAGCCGTTTCCCACGCTAGTCCAGTGGACATTAAGATTGTGATTTCCAGAAAAGATGATGGGGCGTAATGATCATCCAGTGGAAGTTACAATGATCGTTGCCAAGTTTGGTGTAATTCCCAGTTCTGCAATAGGCCGTTTCCCTTTTTCCTATAGTTTATAAGACTATAAAAGAAATACATTATAAAGGGCCACAAATCAGAGAAATTTGATAGCAAGACTATAATACGATCCCTCCTTCAGCATGAGTTGCGACTCGCTAGTAATACCCACCATTCTTATCTGTAGTAAAGGTATTTAGTTGATAACGATTGCCAGAATGGAAGATTCCCCTAAGACCTAACCTGACTTTGGAGGAGTTGCGCTTTGATTCTAGGTTATATATATAGGTTTAGTATAGATTAATGTTATATATACTTTATATGTAAGGACCTATCTACAAATAAACCGGCCTAGAGTGTTGTCTCACTTTAGCAATTTAAAAAAAAAAAAATTAATTTTAAATTCAAAATTTTTAAAAATTTAATAATAAAATAATTCAAAATTTATATATAAAAAAAGTCAATAAAGTATAGGGTCCCGATAAAAAATTTTCAAATCAATATTTTATAATAAAATTACTAATTAATTAATAACAAAACTTTATTATTATTATTATTAGAATCACAAAATTATTTTATTGAAGTTTTATTTAAATTAAATAAATATTTATTGAATTATAATAAAAAATATTAATCCAAAGACTTTTGCACCATACTGTATATCTTTTTGCCAATTATTATAAAAATATATATTATTTTTATTCGTATCTATTGATTGGAAGACCGGCAAGTATTCTACAAGGGGGGAATACTATACACCGCGACGTACGGTAGTCACATGATTAATAGTATATTTGTACATTGGGTGCGACGATCTGATTGTTGTGATCGATAATTTTTATTTTTCTGGACCAACATCTTATTTGTAAGCATCTCTTAAGGATTTCTTAACTAATAATCGGCCTCTTATTGCTGCTACTCGTACTTTTCTTATAACGAACAATAATATCAGTTAACTATTACTGGGAAAATGTTTCTCAATATACAAATCTTAAAAAAATTCTTTCAATATTAACTTAGAGCTCAAGCGGATTCAACTGGTTAACCCTGACACATTGCAAGGAAGAACAGCTCAGTCTATTATTGATAACTGGAAGGTACGTGTGTGATGAGCTAATAGTGAGGTTGAGGGGGATAAAGTCTCGTTATGTAAGACTAAAGAAGGCGTCGAGATATGGCCAAGCTGAGACACGCTAAGTCGACGGTCATGAACGCAAAGTTCGTGCCTATCTCGACAGTTGGGATATGGTCAAGCAGGGACACGCTAAGTCGACCAGTCATGAACGCAAAGTTCGTACCTATCTTAACTGCATTCGGTGGCAGCTGGGACACGCTAAGTCGACCAGCCATAAACGCAAAGTTTGACACCTCCCCTCAACCTTAATCTCATTAATCTTCCGGAACTGTATTAATTCTATCTTTTTGTTTTTTGCCAAGAACTGGACTAGGCTTTTAAAATAATCAATTCAAGACGATAATATGATTCAAGAACATGTTAATGAACGTAATACCTTGGTGGTATGCTATCTTAGTTCTATTCATGTGACGTACAGAGTCATGGAAATAAACTTATTTGTTTTGCTCCTTTTGCAGGAAGAACAGCATAACGAGATCTTAAAAAATGCAATAGTACGAGATCAAGTTGTACGAACTACACTTACAAAACACCTATCAGAATACAGTACAGATCACAGAGAGGAACGCCCAAGAAAACGATTGGTAATATTCGTAATTTGGATTTACTAAGGAATAAAAATTGGTTTCTAGTTTTCTAATATACTAAACACCATTCCTTATACATAGAATAAGGAGAACCCAGCTTTCGATGACAAATCAAAGTTAGATCCAGATGATACAGAAGATCTTTACAACATTGAAACACTCGATATAGATCCAAACATCACATTTACAGAATCTGAGTTATATGAGCAGATACCTTTCCAGAAACACTTAAAGTACCCCAACAAAGACAGTCAAAAAGATATTTGGTTATTACCTTCTGGAAAATCTATTAAAGAAGTAATTCGTGGTCCTGAAAATTTACATAAATCTCAGTAAGTTTCGTATTCATCGTTTCTTCTCTTTATGCCTTTGATCTAACACGCCCTCCATTTTAACCTGTGTAATTTTGTCCATTTATATACATATAGCCCGTCATATCTAGGTATTATACGTGTTGGTGCAAGAGTTCGTAAACCAGAATGGATTGAAAAAAATGACTGGAATTATTTACAAGCTAGCATTGAATATCCAAATTATAATTTGTCTTCTGATGTAGAAAATCTTATTACTGCATTATTAGAGACTGTAAGTACAAATTATCCTTTATTTTTAATGAAAATGTTATTTACATTTATTAATTAATAACAGAACTCGTTAACGGAGTATAAGCAATGTCTTCGTAAAGCCAAATTCGATGAAATCGATAAGGAAATGGAATTCGTAACAGATGTCCTTATGTGGTTGTAAGTATATCGGTTTTTGCAGAAATAGTACTATTTATTTATTATCTCTTGTTTATTAACTTACATTAATTTGAAAGTGCAAAAAATGTATTCGATACTGCATCACTTTTCACAGTATGAATAAAAATGAAGCAATTTTGGGCTCACTTATGATTCATCCGGTGTTACAGTATCTTACAAATGCAGTAACTAGTCGTCCTGTATATGTACCGTATGTTTCTAATAACAAATATATATTAGATTTTTATTCATTTTTCTTTACAATATTAAAACGCAAGTTTCTTTTCAAATATAGGGGTGAGATTTGTCTTAAAGCTAGTGCAAACCAGCGATTATTACGACGTAATCTCAAACCTACAGATGACAAGCCCTTAGGTATGAAGGTTGATGGTTTTTTCCAGTCCCCTGGTGATAAAGGACCTGAATTAGGCATGATAGAATTATCCGGTGGCTATTTGACCTTTGATATGCCTCGCTATCTGAAGGATCACGTAAAGGGATATTGGGGCACTCGTGACCTCCTTAATGATATATTTACAAAGTTTAATCGTGGTGACTACGAAATTATGAGGCATCTGCGAACCTGGTTTCTTCATGTGCATGGTAAGTTATTTGATAAGTTCTAAGTTTTTATTTTCGTACTTGTTATCAAAATTGTCTTTTTTGTAAATAGGACTAAATGTACAAGTATGGGGAATGGATTTACCTGTCTCAAAGACTTACCGAATGTTTCTCATTGGTACCTTTCGGCTTCCAATCAGTTGGGAGGACCATCATGAACTAGTACATGCACTGAGGATCCTGTGGAATCTTGGAGTAAGTAAAGTTTGATTTCTATTTCTTTCTATTAAGTATTAAAGAATTTCATTCTGATCATTATTTTTTTGCACAGATGGGCTTAGATGATACCATTAAGGTATTAGAAGATCTTAGAAAGTCACATCGCCGAAATTCAGCTTTGCGTTCTCAAACTTCAGCATTAAAAAACTATATGGGTGATGTTAAAAATACACCGGAAAAACCTAAAGGAAAAAATTCGCGTATAATAAATCCGCTCGTGTATGATGATTATGATGACCACCTTCACCATCACCATCAGGACACCTTTATTAATAATTTTAAAATGGGTGCATGTTACAAATGCGAAAAAACAATAAAGATATGATTTGGCCTTTAAAAAAAGTTGTTTGAATTAAAGAGCTTATCTTGAATACATGTATTATATACGTACATATTACACATAGCCGATCATATAAATCATCATTGATGTATTCGTAATAGTCGAATATATATGGGTATGAAGACGATGAAAATGATAGATGTGTTTTTTCGGCCTCGCGTCCAACAATCTACTGTCGCGTCATGCAAACCCCACAAACTATTTTAGCATCGCGATCCATCACGTGATCCGCACCGATCCATCCCATCTACTGCCAACACTTTTTTACTTTTCAACAATACATATACAATGTAATTTTAAGGTGCATAATTATAGTGTCCTGTTCACCTTCAAAAATAATTACTCAATATCCCTCAATCTCAATCATCTCCACTTTCCACTACTGATATCAATTGGTAGTTGAATAAATTAGTTATTGGTTAATCAACTTCAGATCAACTAGTTGAATTAGTCGGAAATAATAAATGTATTATTAAATGAAGTTTTTTTTTTGTAAAAAAGTATTATTGTTAACTTCTACATAACATTATAAACAAAGAAACTTTTGTCAAAATTGTTAAGCATTTCAAGATTAATAGTTTCACCGTTCAACATTAATATCTAAGTATTTTTTTATTCTATATATATTCAAATCAATGATTAATATGTTATTAGAAACCAATCAGTCTTTGAAATGATTAAAAATCTCCAACACAAGCTTTTCACAATAATTTTTTGAATTTTATGAAACTTCTAATGATGAGAAATCTTCTATTAAGCATGCAATATGTTGATTTAATAGATGCTTATCTAATTATATTTGGTCTGGTTCAATAACAAATATGATAACATATTTGTAAAACTCTTATAAAATAACAAAAATTAGTTGGATATGCAAACAGCTGAAGAAATTCTTCAAAATACTTAAGTCAAAAATCTAACTGAATAATATAATCAAATCAAGCAATAATTTTTAGTTTAAGAAGTTTTAAGATTAATTTTTTCTTGTACATTATTATTTTCAATTGTTGATCATAAAGGATTTCAATTATTTTATCATTTTTTTGATTCTAAGTTTGCAGTTCCTAGAGTTAATATGCTAAAGACTTTAATTTCCAATGTATATTGTTGGATATTAAGATTTATTAAAAATAAAATTATGGATTCTGCTAATTATATTGTATTTATCTTAAATCTTTGGATATCTTGTACATATAATACTTATTTAAAAATTACTGACTATTGGATTATATTTAAATTTGAAATATGTGAAGTTGTTTTGAATATAACAAATTTTTGGAAGCTTATATAACAATAAATATTATAATAAAACTTTAATAGCAATTTACAAATTTTGATTTATTGTATAAAGAAATTATTATTATTATTATTGATAATAGAAGTAATATAAAAGCAATAGTATCACAAATCAAAATTACAAATGTTTCATATATGAATTATATATTATAACTTAGTATTAATTTGAATTTATCTCAAATAAATAATATTATAACAAAAGCAAAGAACTTAATTAGTATTTTAAGTAATAACAAAAAATAACATCAATTACAAAAAGTACAAAAACAACTAAATCTGGATATTGGAAATATATTAAATATAATAAAAGTTGTTAAAACATATTAAAATTCTACTTTTTATGCAATTCAATACTTAATATTATTATTATCAGCTATTAGCTATCTTTATAATACTCCTTTAAATAGTTTTTCAATAAATATCTAAAAAGAAGAAGAAAAATTAAAAGATTATCTATTTTCAGAAGAAGAATTTAATTATTTGATAAATTTATTGTTATTTTAAAACTATTTAATAGGATATTAAAAATATTAAAAGACTCAAAATATTCAACTCTAGATGTTATAACTCCAATAATAAAAGAATTTAAATAACAATTAATTTTTTATACAATTTAAAATAATAAAATTCAACAAATTAAAAATCTTATCTATAATAATATTCAAAAACATTGAAACTTATCTTCAATTTTTTATTTATATAAATTCTTTTTTGATTTATAATTTAAAAAATTATATTTTATATTATATATATTTTTTTTTAATTCTACAATCAGGTTAGTGTAAGGATCCTAACGATTCTCTTTGATTCTGTATTTGATTCTTAAGTTTATATTAAATTTAATATGTGAGGTATACCCTACCATTATTTTTAATAGTGTTCCGAACCTCATGCAATTCTGTTTGATTCTATTCGATTCCAATTTTTGGAACCATAGGTTGGTGTCATTTATTTATTAAATTACAAAAAACCATTACATGCATAAGAATACATACAAAATACAAATTTCCTTGACCCAACTCACTTGTCTTTAGTTAAAGTCTCTAGATGTAATTTATGGGAGTGATATATTATTCCTCTAAAGAATAGAATTAAGGTCCCAAACTTTTAATAGGATCAAAACCTGCAGATCACCTTCACAGTCATGACCATAAATCCAAATTGTGTCACCCTCTCTTGTAGAAACTACGCAAGGAGAAAAAGAAATAAAAAAAATTTTTTTGACAAAGAGAAAAGAAAAAAAAAGCTATTATCTATTCTAATTATCATTGAAAAGGTTATCTTAATAAACTTAAAACCCAAGTCCCTTATGGTTTTTCACTTTTTACCAGTCAAATTATTTAATTTTCATTGGAGTAATTAATGTTCAAAAATGTTTAAAGGCACTTCTAGAAGAGTATTTCTTGAAACTTTATACTTAAAGACTTTTAACCAGAAAGGATATTGATTTTCTATTGTTGATTGCTCTCCCAAGCCATGTCTTCTGAAATTATTGCTTCACTTAACTGGTGGATAGTTTCAAAATCTCTTTCTCCAACCATTTTCAGAATAAATATCAGTACTTCAACTTGTTACCAGATTGAGATAGGACCTAAACCTTGTTGTTACTTTCTGTTCTCAAGAAAGAATAGGAAAGAAAAAAGAAAATAAAAGAATGGGAACAAAAAGGGTTGCTTCTCTTCTATTCACAACTTCTACTTCATCTAATACTTCCATATTATACATGTAGTATAAATTATTTTGCTGTTGACTCAATTTCCAAAATCCTCAAAAATAATTGCATTATAACTCAATTATTTATATGCTTTAATAGTAACACAATTAATTACATCAAATAATTGCATCAATTGCATCAAGGATCTATGAATTTCAGCAATATGTATATTCCATACTACTCCTTTAACCAAAAACTATCTAACTCTTTCAGAAACCAATCACATCATTGGTTTGATGTTGTGTGACTGGAAACATGTGAGGAGTATATGTCTTGTTTATTTTTTTTGAGACTGATGTGATCAACCAATCTGTAACCTTGACCAATCATCTTTCAAAAGATCTGATGTAACCAAAAATTTAGGGTCAAATTAAGGTAGGCAAAATTCTCCAGAAAAACTAGAAAAAAGGAAGCACGCTTGAGAAAAAAGAAGAGAGAAGTCAAAAAGATGATGAAAAGACTGGAGACTTCTTTGTTCTTGTTTCTTTGGATTCTTGAATCTTTTGGAAGTCTTTGGAGGGTGTTTTTTCTTGTTAGTTTTCTTCTTAGAAAGGTGTTTTTTCCATAAATCTTTTAGGTAGGTTTTTTGTATTTAGTTACCAAAATAAACAAGAAAAGTGTTTTGAAAAAGAAAAATAAAACAAGTGGTAACTTCTGCTTGCTCTGCTGGTTAGAGAACCAGTATTGTTAAGAAAAGTGTATAGACTTTATTATCATAAAGACAAAAAGTCTTTTGAGAATGTCTGTTTTTTGGGTTGGCAAAAGGATCAGTGAAAAGAGTTTTTACTATTATAAAAAAAAATTATATTTTATTAATTGTGTAAGTAAATTTTTATATTATTAAAATTATAAATTAAAATTATTAATTATTTTTTTATATAGAAATTACAATATCAAATTTTTAATAACATTTGAAAACAATATATTGAACTTGTAAATTTTATTTCACTTTAATTTTAATTAAATTTGAAAATGAAAAATTCAAAAATGCAATCATTTTTTTAATCTTTTAAAGAAATAAACTTTGAACAAAATAAATTTAAAAATTATCTTATATTATTACAATTATCTTAAACTGAAAATAACAATTCTTTAGAATGGTAAAATATAAATAGATAAAAATTTCCTATATTAGCAAAACTTACTAGAAAATATTTAACAATTTTCATTTTGTTAGTACCTAGTAAATAACTTTTTCAGATATCAAAAATTATATAACAATAAAAAGAAATTATTTAAATTCTGATATAATTAATTATTTAGTATTTTAAAAGTATAATATATTTCATTTTAATATTTTTTCTCTCTTAAATAATATAGTAATTAAATATTTTTAAAACAAGTTATTTAATAATACAACTAACTAATATTAGCTAATTATAATTAAGTTGGATTATATAATTAACTATGATTAATTGAGTTAATTAATATTATTATTTTTTATCAAAACATAAATTTATATTAATTTGATTAGTTAATAAAATAAATTAACAGAAATTGATTAAATTGATTAAATTATAGGACTTGAATAATAATAGTAATAATAATATAGATAATTATTTTAAAAGGTAAACAATAAGTTTTTAGACTTTAAAATAACTATCTTGAAAATTTATATTATAATATATATATTGTTACACTTGATTTTTGCCCAATATCATTACTATTTCTTATTTTATTTTCACTAACATTTACTCTTAAAATAATGCCCATTCTAGAATAATTCCTATATTACTATTCTTATTATTGTATAGTACTATACTTTTCATGCTATTGTTGCTCTAAAATATTTCTATTTTATTTATTTATCTTTATTCTTTATCTTTGCCAAAGCATTTATTTCTATGTTAACACATACAGATAACTGTTCTAACAAATATAATACTTTTTTTATATTATTGCGGTGAAATACGATGAGTCTGTCGCTTCTGTTCTGTCTATGCTGTACTACATTGGAGAATAGTTTCTTCTCAAA